ACCAGCCTGGGCTACACAGTGAGTTCCAGAACAGTCTCAACTACATAGTGAGACCCTGTCTCAAAAACAAACAAGCAAAAAGAAATGGTGATGTTGTATCATGGATATGTAGAAGTTCATTATGTTATTCTCTCTCCTTTTATTTATGTTTGGCTTTTTCCATGATGCAATGTTAAAATAATAATAATAGTTTTCCCCCATTCTACCACCTCCAAAGACTCCACTGGAAGTTATTCCAGCACCACGCATGGTGGTGCACGCCTGTAATCCCACACTTGGGAGGGCGAAGGAGGAGGACTGCAAGTCTAAGGCCAGCCGTGGCTACACAGTGAGTTCACTGCTTTCTGCAAAGCAGCCGCCATCTGATCAGATGCACACTTGAGGATCTGAGGAATCCTTACTGTAGGACTCCACCCACTCCTTAACCCAGCATGGACTACACAGCAAGACCTAGGCAAAGAAAAAACATGATTCTGAGGGATCTCTTGGGGGTCTTAGGAAACATGTTCTTCTAATTGACGCACGGCATCTAACTGTACCGAAGGCACTGCTTGGATGGTTGTAGCTGGCTTTATGGGACTGGGCTGAGTCCTTCACTGAGGTTTCCCCAAATCTCAAGTGTGAGGTTGCTCAAAGGGCAGCAGCACCGCAGAAAGCCATGTCCACCCCGCCTGAGTCCTTAGTAGCCCCCTCCTGTCCTACAGATGCTGCCAGTGGGAGCAGCAGCCATGGAGGGAAGACAGCCGCATCCATCTTCACCCCGGCCCGCCCAGGGAGCTACTCCTTGTCACCACGACCTAGTTATGCGGCTGTAGACCAAGGTACAGCACCCATTAGAGTACTGAAACAGTGCGCCTTGTAGTAGGAGAAGAACTACAGATTTTTGAACACTGAATGATCTGACACAGGCTCTGGAGTTTTTCCTTTGCTTGTTACACATGTCTTGAAGGTTTATGGTTGGTCTGAGCAATAATATTTAAATATCTTGGTGATTTTGCATTCAAGAGCCTAATTGGGTACTAAATGTTGAAACAAATGCATAAGAAAACATCTTTAAAAACCATGAATTTTGGGGCCGGGGATTTAGCTCAGTGGTTCTGCCACCTGCTTTGTAGGCACAAGGTCCTGAATTCGATCCCCGGTACCCAAAAAAACCAAAAATCATTAATTTTGCTGACTAGTGCACAGGACTCACTGTTCCTCTTTGTTGTATGACCCTGGACATAACACTTGTCCTACAGATTCACAGCAATGGTCATAGAATCAAATGAAATAATCTGAATAAAATTGTAAAACAGCATACAGATTTTTAGGTATCCTAGTCTGGTGTTGGATTCATTTGTGTGGCTTTTTCTAACTTTTTATCTTTACCTCTAGAAGAGTAACTTAGACCTTCTGAGTAAATCAAAGTAAAGATCCTATGTCACTTTGGCATTCACTTTTCGTCCACACTGCGGAGGACAAAGCTATCTTCCTTTTTATCTTCAGCTGCCATCTTCACTTGCGGACCACCAAAGAAAAGACACCGGGGATGGTATCCTGGGTCACCTGTCCCCCAACCTGGTTTAGTTGTACCTGTTCCTACAATTCGCCCCCTTTCAAGAACTGGTAAGATTTTAACAGAGAGTTAAACATTTTTAAAATTATTATTATTATTATTGTTACTCTGTTTGGTTTTGTTTTTGGTACCGAGGACCAAACTCTGATTTTGCACCTGAGAGGCAGGCAGCGGAACCAATGAGCTAAATCCCAGGCCCTTAATTATTATTATTAGCAAAGGTATCTTCTAGACTTGTTCTTTCCCTGAAAGCTTGAAGGTAAATTTCCTTCCTTGCATCCAAAATTCCATAAGGGCTCTGACAGTAGCTAATATTTTGGCCCCCTCACATCTGCTTCCCCTACAAGCACACGTACTATCACAATTGACTTTCATTCAGCCTTCAGCTTAGTTTTAATCCATAAAACTCATGATAAGCCATTCACAAGGCACAAATGGATGTGCTCTGTCAGTAGTGGCATTCGATTTGCCCTTCAGTGGTCTGATTCTTTGAGTGACCTGTACTTGTTACTCCTGGCTTCTGTGGTTTTGTCTGTGGCTAGAATCTGCAGGACCAACTGGTTCTCCTCCGTGCACTCCAAACTGTGGCTCTTTGGTGGCTACAGTTACACATCCAAACATTTGTCTACCTTGTGCTAAATAGACAACTCTTAAGTGTACCATTTCTAAGACAGGTGGGATTCTCTAAAAACTTAAATTCGTTTAAATGAATAACTTTAAAGACTGCATATTTACAAAGAATTATACCAGTGTGTTACTGTAGCTGTCTTCTGGTGGTACTGATTAATGATGAAGGTATCTTTCTTCATATTTGTCTGTTCTTTTCAAAGTTTACACAGTGGGCAAATATGCTTTTGGTAACCTGGGGAGTGGGGAGAAAAATACCCAACAAAATCCCAAAGATTGCGTGTGGAAAAAGAACCAGAAAACTACTAAAATGCCAAATGGTAGTTATCTCCTAATGCTATGACTATAGTTAGTTTTCTTCTTCCCTTTGTTTTTTTACTCCTAATTTTATATGATACACATTAACTATTTTAATAAAGATCCATAAAACTATTAGATTTATAAAATGTCTATATTTATGTGATCAGAACTGCATTTTTAATTGTATTTCCTTCAGTTTTCGTATCTAATCCTTCTTGTTAAACAACTTTTTTTTTCCAGAGCCCCTTTTATCTGCCCCAGTTCCACAGACCCCATTAACTGGAATTTTACAACCTCGGCCCATTCCTGCAGGGGAAACTGTAATGGTTCCTGAAAACCTGCTGAGTAACTCAGGAGTTAGACCAGTAATTTTGATCGGTAAGGCAAGGGAACACCAAGGTGCCTGTGTTCTCTGGAATCTGGGAATGTTTCTCCACGTCATTGTGGCTTTCCTCACACATTCATGCATGTATTCGTTTGATTCCTCGAGCTTTTATCAGTCAGCGTCCTCATGCTGTATT